CGTACGTGATTTGGGACAATGGCTCCAAGAATCTGTACCGCGTAGGCTTCGAGGGAATGGCAGATCTAAAGGTCGTTAACGATGCCAAGGGTAGTAATGTTTACCGGGATCACCTGCCACTCCTGGGTGAAAACGGACCCGGAAAAGGACCGCATGGCTTCCAAATCGGCGACAAGGTCACCGTGGATCTAGACCTAGAAATTGTTCAGTCCCTGCAGCATGGACATGGCGGCTGGACCGATGGCATGTTCGAGTGCCTAAGCAACGCGGGAATGGTCGTGGGCATCGATGAGGATCACGACATTGTGGTGGCCTACAATTCCGGCAATCGCTGGACTTTCAATCCAGCTGTCCTCACAAAAGTATCCTCGCCAACCACTGCTCCTCCCGAGTTTCAGGTGGGCGACATTGTCAAGATCTGTTCGGATGTGGAGAGCATCAAGATCCTGCAGCGAGGACACGGAGAGTGGGCGGACGCCATGCAATTGACTCTGGGAAAGATCGGACGCGTGCAGCAGGTATACCATGACAATGACCTTAAAGTGGAGGTGGGCAATACTTCGTGGACCTACAACCCGCTAGCCGTTTGCAAGGTGGCTTCTTCCTCTGCCTCCGATGGCGGCTGTGCTCCAGTTATTCCCAGTAGCGAACGTCTCTCGGCCATTCTTAAAAAGCTGTTCGAACCAAATGTTTCCGGGGATGCCACTGAAGAATTTGTTAAGGCAGCAGCCAATGGATTTGCGGTAAGTACAAGAAAATACAGTTTTCCATTGATATTAAATAAATTGATCCGCGTGTCCAGGCACGATGCGAGGAGTACTTGGCTGGCGCAGCTCAACCATCGACTTCCAGTGCCTCGCCCAGTTCTGGGCCGGATGTCAATGTGAATGGTGTGTTTGCCGGGCATACTGCACTGCAAGCCGCCAGCCAGAATGGCCATATTGAAGTGATACAGGTGCTACTACGGCACGCCGTCGACGTAGAGATTGAGGACAAGGACGGAGATCGAGCTGTCCACCATGCCGCGTTTGGAGATGAGGCGGCGGTGATCGAGATATTGGCCAAAGCCGGGGCGGACTTAAATGCGCGCAATAAACGAAGGCAAACGTCTCTGCATATTGCTGTCAATAAGGGCCATTTGAACGTAGTGAAAACGCTTCTTACACTAGGTTGCCATCCTAGTTTGCAAGATTCCGAGGGCGATACCCCCCTACACGATGCCATATCTAAGGAGCACGACGAGATGCTGTCCCTGTTGCTGGACTTCGGGGCTGACATCACGCTAAACAACAATAACGGATTCAATGCATTGCATCATGCTGCTCTCAAGGGTAATCCTAGTGCCATGAAGATCCTGCTGACGAAGACGAACCGTCCTTGGATCGTGGAGGAGAAGAAGGATGATGGTTACACAGCTCTGCACCTGGCAGCACTTAACAACCACGTTGAAATTGCTGAGCTACTAGTGCATATGGGTAAGGCCAATATGGACAGGCAAAATGTGAATCTTCAAACGGCCTTGCATCTTGCGGTGGAGCGTCAGCATGTGCAGATCGTCAAGCTGCTGGTGCAGGATGGCGCAGATCTAAACATACCCGACAAAGACGGCGATACCCCGCTGCATGAAGCGCTCCGACATCACACTCTCTCGCAGCTGAAGCAACTGCAAGATGTGGAAGGATTTGGTAAGCTTTTGATGGGTCTGAGGAATGCCAATAACAAGAAGGCCTCTGCTTCAATTGCTTGCTTCTTGGCTGCAAATGGAGCTGATTTGACTTTGAAGAATCGCAAGCAGCAGACCCCACTGGACCTGTGTCCGGATCCCAATCTCTGCAAGACCCTGGTCAAGTGCTATAACGAACGGAAAACCGACGACTCAGAGTTGCCCGGAAATGTGGCTGGTACAAGTTCGAACGCCAGGGCAAGAGCAGCCAGTGGTACCCTAAATCAGTCATCCTCAGCCAATTTGCCGCTTGCTAGCATGGCTGCCTCATCCACTTTCCCCGCTGCCTCATCATCCATATTTGCCCTCAATGGCATCGCCAACGAATTGAGCCAATCGCTGCACGAGGATCCTCCAAAATCGTCCGCCAGCCTGGATGAGTGCTTGGTTTGCTCGGATGCCAAGCGGGATACGGTGTTTAAACCCTGTGGCCATGTCAGTTGCTGCGAGACCTGCGCTCCGAGGGTGAAGAAGTGCCTCATCTGCCGCGAGACCGTTTCCTCGCGCGAAAAGATCGACGAGTGTCTGGTGTGCTCGGATCGCAGGGCAGCTGTTTTCTTCCGCCCCTGTGGCCATATGGTCGCATGTGAGCACTGCAGTGCTTTGATGAAAAAGTGTGTCCTGTGTCGCACGCAAATCGATGAGATACTGTCGTTCAGTCTCTGCTGCGGAGGAAGTGGCCGACCAGAGAAGGTCTCCGTGGCAGCTGGAGGAATGGCATCAGTGGGCTTGCCACTGCCCGACGATCGCTTTGTGGAAGCAGCAGCGGCGGCAGCATGTGCCAATGCCTCCGGTCACAGCGTGGCCATGAACAACACTGTAGTTACTCCAGTGGCGGGCAGCAGCAATCAGTTGAATAGCCAGAATAATCTGCTGGCCGCTGCAGCAGCCTCTTCAAATGTCCCGAGTCTGGTAGCAGCTGGAAACGCGATGGTGGCTCCTTCCAATGTCAACAACTTCCAGATGGATGATGTCCAAAAGTTAAAGCAGCAGTTGCAGGACATCAAGGAGCAGGTGAGTTCAGATTTGATTGACAATTTTTTCAGTCACTGATCCTGTATTTATCTTATAGACTATGTGTCCTGTCTGCTTCGACCGCATAAAGAATATGGTCTTCCTATGTGGCCACGGCACGTGCCAGATGTGCGGCGACCAGATTGAGGGCTGTCCCATATGCCGCAAGACTGTGGAAAAACGCATCCTGCTCTTCTGAAGCCCGTTCCCAGCTCACACATTCCGCGCACAGTCTGCACAGCCTTCGAAGTATTAGGATATTTAAAGGACTCACATTCTTATACACACACACATATATCTACACAATATCATATATATATAACTATATATCGATTGGTCTTATAAAGCAAAAATATATTTTTAACAAATATTCAAACGATAACATTAAGCAGAAATACTTTTGCTTGGCTCCTTGGTAATCAGATCTCTCAGTATGTCCTTCTTGGCCTGGAAATAGTCACGGAACCAGAAAATATGATCCTTCTTCTCTTGGGCAGTCAAATAGGGATTCTTAGACAGGCCGACGCAGACGAGCTCCATGAAATGTCTAATAGGTCCCTTGTTAGGACACCAATCCTCGAGATGCTGTTCGAGGAAAATGTGTTCCGAGAAGTCCACGTTCTGCTCGTCCACCCAATCCTGCTCGTTGTTAATAGGAAAGCGCCACACCTTTTTCTGATCCGTCCACAAGACCATTTGTTCGAAGTAGTTTGCCGGGGGATGCGAAGCTTGAAGACTAAGTTCCCTCTCGCTCAGCTGTGACCAGGTTGAAAGAATGTCGTTGGAAATGGGCAGCTGAGTATCCTTGAAGATGCCCAACGGTTCTCCGCCGTACAAGTTGACACTGCCCGTAAAGGATTCAGCCTCTCGTTTGATTTGCCTCTGTGGCCGCTGGTAAAAACCATCTCCTCTGTTCTGTAGCTTGGATCTGGAAGCCAGCGAGCGGCGAACGTACTCGCCGCGAGTCTGCTCCACCTGCTGCGGCTGCTGGCGACGATCGATCTTCATGCCCACTATTAGATCACTGTTGCATACAGAAAATAAATTTAATTAGATGATAACTAATTTAGTGGTTAAATTCATTAAATTTTCCCACCTCAAATTGAGTTCCTTATCACCAGAGGAAGATGATGAAGCATCTGTCGCCTGATTTGTTCCGGTCGCTGCTGGAGAAGACTCGCTCTCATGTCCCAGGAGTTTGGCCAATAGCTCTGACTCCGTCTGCTTCTTTTCGCTCTCACTGGTGCTCAGCATGCTAGCAATGTTCTTTGCCGCAGTGAGAACATTCTTAGAGGCCGCCTCCTGCTTCTGGGCCTCCCTCCGCTTCTTATTAGCATCGCCAGGACGAGGGAAATCAGATGCCGAGAGCTGATCCGTGGCCTGCATGGTGCCTAACAAGCGGTTCAGCCGCTGGGCCGCCGTTTCCGCAGGTTTCTCCTTCTTCTTTGTGGGCTTTTCGTCGTCTGAAGAGGAGTATCCATCGTCGTTTTTGGACTGCGAGGAGGAATAGTTAACCAAACCCACGTTTTTGAAGGCAGCCGGTATCAGGGACCTGGAAAAATAGGGGTCAGGTGACGAATTCCTTTTGGTTATTTCGAATTAAACCGGTGGCCTACCGTAAGCTGAGTCTCTGGGAACTTCCTATGGCCAACATTCTATTATATTTCTTTGATAATTTCAACTGGAAATGAAACCAAAAGAATCGGTCGCGTAACAACAATTCCGCGGAGAGTTGCCAGACTGTGGTAAAAATTTGCACTGCCATTTAAGCTAGTTTATAGTTAAATTTGGCTTTATTATATGCTTGAGTTAATTTGCCTTATTTATTTTGTTCTTGAAAGCCAGTAGAGATCATCATCATAAAACAGAACTATCCTAATCATTTGATTAACATTTGTTGTTTTAAGTGGTGGTTTATAATCTGGAAAAATAAGTCAAGAATTTTATAAACATACATTTGTGTAAAGTTGGCAGTCCATTGCAGCGAAAGTATGACCTTTGATTTTTAAATTTGGAAATCCATGCCCATTTATTTAAATGTTTTACTCTACACTTTGCTCCTTCTAAGTAATACTACCTTTTTCTTGTAAGTAATTTAGAATTTAATTCTACATTGAAATTAAGTCTATATTCTTCAACCAATTCGGTATATACAATTCGGTATACCAATTCGGTATATATATTCGGTATATATATTCGGTATATATATTCGGTATATATATTCGGTATATATACGGTATATATACGGTAAATACGAAGTGTTACCGCTTTTTCGTTGCACGTTAGTATTAAGTGTCTAATCTACTTCGGTCACACTAATCACACGTTTTGTTTTTTGCGCTATTCCTGTTACTTTTTTTCGACGTACACACGCGTTTTGTTATTTTGCGCGATTAATTAATGGCAAAAATTAGAAAAAAAATTAAATAACGAGGCGAAATAACGAAAACACCAGCGGCCGAGCAAGTGTGCGTGCGAGAGTGTGTGTTAGTGTTGTGTCTGTGTGAGCGTTTATAAATAAAACGCTGCGAAGCTGTGTGCGAAAAGCAGACGCGGATAAAAAAGTAAAAGAATGAGCGCAACCAAAAACAAGAGCGAAGTAAAGAAAGTGTTTTTTATTGAAATTCGTAGAAAAATTTGAATTTACTTAAACCGAGAGGCGAAAGTGCAACAGAGCTAAAGAGAGAGCGATAAATAGCGAGGTGAATATCAAAGGGAAAACCCATTTGCATTGAGAAATAAAACGAAGCGAACGGACGGCCAAAGCGTAATTGTAAAATTCCACTGTCTGGGGCAGGCTATCAATTGGTGCATGTGTGTGTGAGCTATATATACGTGGTAAATGTATATATGTATGGCATATATACTACATGACACTTACCATATATGCGAAGAAAACATGGAATCATCTCGCGATAATTGCCATATCCTATGTATCTCTATCTCTCATGTGTGCGCAACATTTTGCAGCTGTCCTATCCGAAACCGATCTGAATCAGAATCTGAATCCGAATCCGATTTATCAACCTGTTAAGCGAAGTGGAGCCACAAACCGAGTGCTTAAATGGATGCAACATCAATAATAACGCAAGTTTCCCGCGACGACGAGCAACTGAACGTCTATCCCAGCTATCCCAATGACAAAGGTGAGAACAAAAAATGGGGGTACAACTGGGGAAGTCGGTGAAACTCACAGACACTATACATATACATGTGTACATAAATATATATAAAGCTCCCCTTATGACTCATCATCACTCAAAGGCGTCACAACAAAGACGAAAGGACACTTGTCCGCTGCCAAGAAGTTCTTACACTTACCACCCACCAACCACCATAACCCCCCAAAAAAGAAGCCCCAACACCCCGCTGACCTTTCTAACTCACCCAATTGCGGTCAATATAATTGTGGGAATAAGTTAGTTGTACATGTGTCGTACTTTCCGAAAGTCGCAGCGAGTTAAATGGCATTGGCCTTTTTAATTTGTACAGGAACCACTCCATAAAAGAACTGATAATAGACAATAGTGCTTGGAATTTGTAGAAATATAGTTAAAAAACATGCAATTAATGTATCATTAGCTATTATTTATTTGCAAGACAGTAACCAGTTTGCCGTACTTTCTGTAATTTGAAACCAATTAGGTGGCAATTACTTTTCTTTAATTGAGAATCTAATTTCCATTTTAAATATCTGTAATTTTTCTGTTCAATACTTTCACCTTAGACTAGAAGTTTGACCTCATAGACACTTTTTTGTGTTAAAACAAGATTAATTTAAAATAATATGTTTCTCTAATATGCTATACTATACTGTGCTATTTGTGCCATGAAATTCACTTTAAGAGGTTTACAAATAAATATTTTTTTTACAAAAAATTGATAAATGTTCCGAATTGTGCGTTTACATTTAAATAAATGGTCTTGCACAGGCTTTCACTGCGATGAATAACAATTCTTAATAATAGTGTTATTTTCGCGCCAGTTGTGGCTGTCTGTTGTGTTTGTTTCGCCCCCTTTTTTTTATTCAGCACACAGTGTTTTCTTGTTCGTTCGCTATTGTGAATGATCTAACCACTTGCTGGCTTTGCTTTGTGGTTATTGAATTATTTTGCGACGCAGTTGCAACTCTGCCGCCAGCCAGCCACCACCCAGCGCCCATTTGCCACCCACTGGCCCACTCCCACCTGTAATCAATTGATGACGTCTTTCGGGGCATGTGACGTCATGGAATTTCGACACGAAAGCCTTTACTTTCCTCCCATCTTATTTTCTTTTTCATTCGCTTAACTGCCTAACTGCCTTTGCATGTTTACTTTCGAGGGTCCAACAATAGAAACTGCCAATTAAATTGCACAGTAAAAAGCAGCACAAAAAACGGAGAAAAAAGTTAAGAAAAAATACAGGAAAACCGGTATGAAGCGAGAGACAGCGAGAGAGAGCACAATCAAACTAGTTGTGTGTTTTTTACAGTGATGCAAACAAACAAACAAGCAAAGCAACAGACGAACAACAAAAGCGTAGCTTAAAGGTTGCGAGCGATATGGTTGTAATGAATGAATAAATGAATGGTGAGAGCCAAAAGAGAGCGGGTTAAGTACACGTCAAGAAAATGAGATCGAAAGTAAAGATTAATGAAATTATATTTAATACACAATCCTAGATGTATTTACATACAAGATACATATGTATTTATTGAAACTAAAAAAAAAAGTCTAAAGCGGTGTTAAATGAAACACCCGGACTTTTGTTATCAGAAACAAGTGCCACTTACGTGACCAAACGTAGCATTCGCTATTATTCCTATATCGAAATGATATGAATGAAAAAAGTGTAGTTGACCTAAGATTTTGTTTTTTTGTTTGTGCAGAGAGTGAACAATAAAACAGTATGAGGGCGGGGCTGACTGAGCGCAGAAAAAAACGCGATGAACGCTTTAAAGTAAAGTAATAACTAATTTAATCTAATCTGCGGTCGCCACTGCACCTTTTATACATGTCCACACACATGTATGGGCTATACTTGATATATTATATAAAAAATATATTTGCGGTTGGGTGCTAATCGACGTCGCTCGCTCGCTTTGATTTCGAATTTGATTTTTATTTTGATTTTGATCGACTGTGCTGCCCAGTTAGCCGCAAATAAATGTCTTTCTTTATCGGCCCGCCGATCTATATGTGTCACCAGCTTTAAAAATATGTATATGTATATATTGCATATCGCTTTGGGAGCCTACATCTTGAAATCAAGTTATCCCATTACGTTCCAAATAGGGATCTATGCGGTTTCTACTAGTTGCGCTTTGGCCAACTGAGAGAGCGTGAGATAATGAGCAAGACGTCACCGTATCTGTATGTACAACACTTGTGGTCAAGACTGTAGCACACTCACAAACACGTAATAATTTCCAACTTGCTATCACAAAGTTTGTGTTTAGGATCGTTATCTATTTTGTTTTATTGTATTATCATTGACAATTTGTTCTGATAGGTGCATTCTGGCTAAGAAAAATTATGGTAAAATATAGGATATTGTAGAACTTTTGTAGAAAAGTTTTGTATATATATATCAGCACTAAATAGATGCGCTTTCAGGCTTTTCAAGAAAACCCACTACTATTATTCTGATCTCAGCTGTTTTTCGTGTGAGAGCGAGTGGGTGTGTGGGGCGCGTGTGCGTGCGAAGAGCACGACAATAGAGGCCAAACCGGCAAGCGAACAGCAACAGTTGAAATATGTTTTTCTTTTTTATTTGAGAGTGGGTGCCGCCGCCTAAGTGCTTTTTGCTTTGCCTCACCGCGTATAAATATTTATATAGATATGTGTTCGCCATACCGCCAACCTCACGGCCCCTCCCCGCTCCATGAACTCCCCTCGCTTATAAATACATCTATATTGTTTTTATGGGCAAACGCAAATGCTCTCTAGTATCTCATTTCTAGACGCCTCAGCTGAACTGCTGTGATTTTTCAATTTTCTCAAGGTCTTAAAAGCCAAATTGCTCGCGCACACACAGACTGCGCGCTTTTCTTCGATTTAACGCCCTTTCTCAAAAATTTATTATTTTTCACATTTATTGAGCGAGTCTAAGAATAGCCCAAATAATGTTAAATTAAAGAGTGCGAATTGAGTTCAAAGATCTCGTACATAAACAAATTTCGGAAAATGGGAAAAGCTGGATTGCGCCGAATGTTGAAAATTTAACTGCGGCGTGCTGAAATGTTTATACTTTTTATTTCATAAACATCTCACTTGTTCTAATATATATATTTTTTTTTTATTATTTCATTTATTGCTCTACACCAAAAATAGTAACGTTAAATACTATAAACATGTGTGGTACATTATGAAATATTTATAATTTAAATGTATAAACATTTTATATTATACAATTATTACACAATACTATACAATTTGGCAGATCTAAAATGAACTAGTATGAAGGTAAATGGCTGAAATTTATTTATTTGGTTGTATAAACAAACTCGATTATTTTACAACTATTGCTAAATAATGTATTAAGACCCAATTTCCAATAGAACACTAAACGAACTGACGATAGAAATTAGACGGCGAGAGTGATATATATTTATTGAATCTTGTTTATAAACTAAATACTTTCGAAATCTGTGTTCAAAATCTCTTTTAAATGACAAAAAATATGTCTTAAAAATTGTTTTCTTGCAACAATATTGCCTGTATCTATAAGTGTATCTAAATGACGACATAATGGGCCCGAAAATACACAAAACAGACAGTGAACAGATGCATTGCAATGCTTAATTATTGAAAAATAATATTATATACGGCACAAGATGAGCGGACTGCGTGCAAAAGATTTGTGTGATGCTATTTCCTATATACTATTGCCCACAGAAACAGAAGCAACACTTTTGAAAAAGACGGCCTTAGCTTTTCCTTTTTGAATCGATAAAGGTCAACGAGTTCTGTACAAGGAGATTTTATCTTCGTGGTTAAGATGAGTTCGTTGAACTACGATAGGGGTTAAAAAAAGGCCAACAGCTTATGGAAGATGCGCTCGGAAAAAAGCTGGGTTTGGTAAAAGCGTTTTTTTAAATTTGAAAGCTAGAATCGTTTGCCCCATAATTAGTTTTGTTTGGCCCATGACCAGTTTTGAAAATATGAAAATTAAGCTAAGGCCAACCCCCGAAAAACAATGGCGGGATTGGGGTTCTGCAATATTATACAGCCATCTTTACGAGGGAGATAAGAAATTCAGTAAATTGTAAAGCAGCTGTACCAATCGACACAGTAAGAAAATCTGTGTACTTCTAAATATTTAAACAAGAAATAATTGATCAGTAATTTACACAGTTAAAGATGAAATTACCTTTTTCAATATTTACTGTAGCCATTGACACTTGTTTTTTGGCCACATATATCACGTGCCATTAAGTTTGTTTGCCATCTGCTTTGGCACGGCTTTACTTTTAAGCTGCCTCTATCTTGAAGTTTTAAAAACAGAAAACAGAACACAAAAAAACTTCATAAATATGCTGAAGGTCGAGACTGTGTGGCATTTTTGTTGCTCTTGGAATCGGCAAGAATGATATCATGGTGTGCCCCCTGCCAGATAACAAACATTTCGATTAGATAAGCGTCTGTGGCCAAGAACCGAATAAAAAACTCAATTGTGTGTGGGGCATGTGGGCAATTATAGTCTCGATTTCTTATGAATTTGTCTTTTATTTGTTTTAAATTAATTATCAAATAATACCTCCTGACGTGTTTCCCCCTGCTTATCTGACATATGAAAGACCTTGCCCGCCAACAGAACAGAAATATGTTCAAATTATAACAAAAGAAAATCTTTGGGAATGGCCAGTGCCGTTTCGCATCACTAGATATATGTACACACATATACACATAGTTGGTTTGGATTTTCTGGAGCTGTAGGTTGTCGGGTTGTCCTGAAGATCAAGCCGAATTGACGCGTAATGCCGTTAAACAGTCTGGCGGAGAAGGAATCGCATTTGCATAATATAATGCACCGATTGTAGTTGCCCTCGTCCTAGTCTCCATGTTATTTTTTTAATATTTTACATAAATCTGCGATTTATTTGCTGAATTTATGTGTATTGAATGTGGTTTGTCGTTCTTATTTTTTTCTTTTTTTGAGAAATTTTACATTTTATTTATATAAGGCAATCATATATAATCCTTATAATTTTATTTAATTTTGTAAAGTAAGAATACCCAATCAGTAATATTTTATTTGTATTAGTTTATACAGAAGTCATATAATTATTATGAAGCGTATATGTTATTCATTTGTTGCTTGTAGCAGTTGAAATTAATAACTTTATATAACTTTGGTTTAAGTACTTCAAGGGTAAGCGGTAACCATAATTAATGCAACCTGACATTTAAAATATTAAGTATTTCAACGTGACCGACTCGTTTCGCATACTTTCGGCCCATATTTGGGTGTCTATTAAAACAGAATCTCGTAGAGACTTGACAGATTGTTGGCCCAATAATGAGCTATAAATATGGTCATCTAAATATGTCTGGAAACGAGCACAAGAGGAATGCGAAGCGGCTGCCCACACAATTCCAACGACGGTTTGCTTGAAACACCTTAAAAATAGGACAAAAGCCTATTTGAGTGCGATGTGGGTGGAATGGGGTGGGTGTTGGGAATGGAACGGATTAGAGTGGGTTGGTTGGATGGTTGGTTGCTTGTTGGAGGTGTTGCTCCATTGACGACCCAAATATAGATTGCCTATCAATAATCAGCCAGGATACAGAGCAGTTTTCAACAAGTTAAGTGTTTCGCGTTGGCTGTCGGCCCCTTTTTATGCAAAGGTATGCAAAAACTTGAGAGGTGAGCGGAAAAGGAGCGGAAAAGCAGCGGAAAAGGGGTGAAGGCTGCGAGGATTGGGGTGGTTCACCTGCCTAATAATTACAAATGCCAGACGCTGGAAAAAGCTTTCATTATGCTAGCGAAGCAGCAGCAACTACAACAAGAGCACACGCTCATAAAATATTCAAGTGCATTTGCACTTCACTTGCAAGGGTTCTATGTGCAAAAAAATGCATTAGGAAGAAGCAAGAAAGAGTAACGCTAGATTTAAGTACCCTTTGTACCACTCCTTGCAAGCTGCGATCTCAGAAACTCGGCATACGAGCAAGATTACACGTTTTTCCTTGATTTAAATGGATTACTAGCTGAGTTTATTTAATATTTTTGGACCATGTAAAGCCACTTCTATTGGACTTCAATTATTTTGTAAGATCGTTCTACAAACGAATGGTTTTCTTTAATATCAAGACTTATTTGTTCAGCTTAAAAAAGTTGTCCTTTTCAGTTATTTAATAATTCCATAAAAATCTTTTATTAGCACTCGATTACCTCCCAAGTTCAAACGAAACAAAAATGGGTTTCTTAAAATATATAAACTATAACATATATTGGTTGCACATCAATTTTGAAGCCCGTGTAAAAAGAGTATGGTGAAAAAGAGGTTCGCCGCAAGAAAATGCTCGACATATCCTAAGCTCAGTTTTCACTTGGCTAACGGTTCAATGAACCGTTATGTCTAGCTTAGCCAGCAAGAAGGACGCTCCCCCACCTCCCCCCTTTCGCCCCCACCCACATCGCCCACTTGAAGCTTGTTTTCCCTGCTAAGTGATGTTTGACTGCTGTTTCCTTTTGTTGCCACACAATGCAAATGGCGGACGGACGCATTTTCGCTATCCTCTATCGCTGGCTCCCCATCTGCCAGCCACTCATCCCTTTTCGCCAAGGTGGCCGCACCTCAAGCCAGCTTAAAGGTCAACCCGTGACCTTCTATCCATCTATCTATCTATTCGACTAACTATATCTCTGCTCGCTGTATCTGCTACAGTGCAACTTCGATAGCTGCACCAAACTCGTGCTCTGGAATCGGAAAGGTATGAAAGTGCAAGTAGAATAGAAAATTATAGTGAGAAATAAAGAGTTTTATTAATAAATAATTCTGAAATACCAATAATACTTAAATCCTAAACTTTCCAACTGTTTGTCATATATTTGGTGTACATTTATAAAGAATTTGTATGAGCTAGCAAAACGACATTTTTAAGTTATGATAAATATATGTTGTAATTATATAATTCTTATTGAGCAGAAAACTTGTCACTTCTGTTCTTTGACACTTACAAATTGGGTGTTTCCAAAATTAGTAAAAATGATAAAGTATGTTATTATTTTAATAAAATGTATAATTGTTTTCTGGGAATTAAGATGTTGGACTGTAAAACACGGACTCGCTCACCTGCTCTACCTACTTTGTTTGTGTTTGTATGCAATTATAGCATTTCCCATCGATTAAACGCATGTTTCCACCCCCTGAACCGCACACCCTTCCCCGCCCCTCAAGCAGCCGTGTTGCTGCCTTCTAGTTTTGCCTTTGACTTCTATTTATAAACAATTTCGCACAAAAACACAAACCGCAAACCAAAACACAGTGGCGGCCAAACGAGAAACTATAACAAATTGTCTGCACTGCATGTACTGCAGTATTAACCAGATATAGAAATTGGAATAGATCTATATTTGTATTATGCAAATGTTGCAAACAAAACAGACAATGTTTATGTCATCATGTGGCAAAACTGACAATCTGTAAATAGTAATCCAAGCAAGGCGAAACATCCAGACGAAAATGGAATGAAAATATATACGCACGCATGGGAAAACATCGTGGGCGTACGAGTATTTAGGGGTCTTAAATACTGCACGAGAAGTTTTTATGAGGCGGATAGAATTTTGTTTAAATTAGTGGAGGAGTCATCGAGGAAATGCTCGGAATTGCTGTTAAAATATATGATATTTGAGTGTATGGATGGAATGTATTTGGTATTTGGCTATCCTTATTGAGATTTATGATGTGCCTTAGGTACATCACATGCTGAAAATTAGTTTGTTTTATTTGAAAAACGTGGCTGAAATCTTAAACAGATTTGGGATCTCAGTTTCACTGTACATTTATACAAATGTATAATTTCTTCAAATAATATTCCACTCTTTAGGAAGGATCACTTTAACTCCTAATAATACCGACCACCAATCATTGAAATATTTTCTAAGCCCATATTTTTATTTATTTACTTTTATATATCCAGACGATGTGGATCGCTTAAAGCCACAAAAGCGAGGATTATTCCAATCTCTGCTTTGCTGCTGGCGACGAAACCGAACGAAAACCAACCAGAATGGCACACAAATCGATGGTTCAACAACACCGCCACCATTACCGGACCAACAAAGGTACCTACTACCTCAGGTTAGGCTTACCGATATGCACAGAAAGTGCATGGTGATCGATTTGGATGAGACCCTAGTGCACAGTAGTTTTAAGGTGAGTGCATCTGGATAATCCCCTAGTATTCGTCATATTCATTTGAGTTAATTTTATATTGCTGTTCTACTATCCAGCCCATACCGAATGCTGATTTCATAGTTCCCGTAGAGATTGATGGAACCGTACATCAGGTATATGTTCTGAAGAGACCGCATGTGGACGAGTTTCTGCAGAAGATGGGCGAACTATACGAGTGCGTTCTGTTTACAGCATCACTAGCCAAATATGCGGATCCCGTCGCCGATCTGTTAGACAAGTGAGTTCAGTTATTCCAATTCATATTTATGGTTATATTTTCCCTTAATTGCCACTCACATACTGTAGACAAGCAATGGATTTTTTTTACTAAAATACTTGTTACAATCGTAATTTCAGGTGGAATGTGTTTCGTGCAAGACTGTTTAGGGAATCATGCGTTTTTTACAGGGGTAATTACATAAAGGATCTGAATCGTCTGGGACGGGATCTTCAAAAGATCGTCATTGTCGACAATTCACCAGCCAGTTATATCTTTCATCCAGACAATGCAGTAAGCAAAACAAAAACTCATAAAATACAAACACCGTATTCAATTTTGGATTTCCCATTAAAGGTTCCTGTGAAATCCTGGTTTGACGATGTAACCGACTGCGAACTTCGCGAACTGATCCCGCTCTTTGAGAAGCTTAGCAAAGTTGACTCCGTCTACTCGGTGCTCTGCAATTCGAACCAGCCGCTGAACAATCAGACCAACCAGCAGCATCCACAGGAGCTGCAGCAGGCGCCGAACCAGCTGCATCAGCAGCAGCAGCAACAGACCATCTCTGCCACGACAGTTATTACCCAGGCAACCACTCTGTCTGCTCCGACCATGTTGAACCAGCAGCAGACAAGTCCGCCCAGCCCACAAAGCGAGTTGCTGCAAAATACGTAACATCAGTGGGAACTAATGTTTATAAATATATGATAAATTGTATACATATTACAAGACCAAGCAAGCCGACAAGCAAGCAAACAAACATCCCTTTCCCAAACCGTTCACTCATTACCCCAGGACGCATGAAAATGGGGCGACGAGATGAAACCAACTACCATTTGCTATCAACTATAATCCCCAGCTCGACAGCTAGGCCTAAGCATAAGTTTTATATGATATACATAATTTTTACAGAACCCAATTTACACGGCACATTTGTTATTTATTCTTGTTTTGCTCTACCAATTATAATTATTATTTTTTTGTGTTTTTTAAACAACTGCTAATTGCTTACTGCGTTTTGCGGTACCCCAACTAAGGGGTATATTAAATTCAAGCATAAGCCTCTATTTTTACCCAATAATCATAACTCTTTAAGCGTATTTAATGGTAAACCAACTGAGCAAGCAAAAGATTTAAATGCATAAAACAAAAATGATAACTATACATATGAACAGAGAGATAAAATCAAATTCAAAATAGCTATATTTATATATATTTTTTATTAAAAAAAGGGAAAACAAAAAGAAATAAGAGTAAAATGGGGAGGAGAAAGAAAGAAAAGAAAACTAAAACAATATATATAATACGTGTACTAAAACAAATTTATATATACATACATACATGGATATATATTTAAGGCATGTGTCTACACATGTTTCTAGCACATAGGCATGTATAATATTTCGTATATTTATTAAAGAATTAAGCTTAAGCGCGGTCTCCCACTCACTCTTGATCGTTGGCACTGGCAAATTTTCAAGTTGGCATATGGGGTTTGTCCCATAAATGGCTTCATCGTATCACATTCTGGTTTCCTGAAATGTCTCTCAGTTGTGAGTGGCGGGGCCGCGCTTAAAAGAGCTAAGTTGCATTGCAAGAGGGTGAAAATGGGCTATCTGTAAGCCACTTTGTAAAGCATCTAAAAGTCTGCGGCGCGTCCGTAGTTAATATATAAAGAACCGCTTAGGCTGCGCTTGACGGTGCTCCAAAATCGGGAGTTTCCATTCGATCCTGTTCTGTACACACATCCAATCCAATCTGGTATAACGAATACCGCACTGTCCTAGCGCAAATTCTAATTGCCGCCTTTGGAACTCGGCCAAGCGCAGTCGTAAAACATTGTATTAGGCTTAAAAGAAAATTATACATCTATATATTTTAACCGATTTATGTTTATTCCCCCTTTTATCAAGTGCGCTTATGAAACGCATTGCAATATATAATTACGTCTAATTTAACCCTTCTTCGACATGAACTTCTCTTTCGGCCTCGTTCTGTATTCTGTGTTAGCATGTGAAAACGGGAAACGAATGTAAACGATAAAACACCTATAGCTTCTTTCAACTCCGACCAAATATCAATCATTATATACTATATATATATATTGAGCTCAAGCTGGCCACGCCGAAATCCCACCTGATAAATATATTATATATACAAAAGACGCTATTGCTATCCAAACACACACAATATTCGCTCACAGACCAGTCCAGAACTTCTTTCAATCTTTTACTCTATATGTAATCAATGTCTTGTATTTGTCAACTAACTTTTGCAACCATTCTTTTATTTAGTGCATAAGCCTTTGTATTTTTATTTGCCTAAACTAAAATTATAATATTGGAGGGATACAAAAATTGGCTCGTTGCAAACGCGCGATATTCTCATATTTTTTGCGATCAAGCAAGTAAATTATAAATAATGCTAAAATAATATATGTATTGTATATCATTTACACCCGCTGCAAAAGTCTAAGGCAAAGAAACGCTAAAAATGAATTGCAACTAATTACGAAATTTAAATCGCAGTAAACCGCAAGAACTCGTTTAAATTTCCTATTTTTAAATGTTTTACTTTTTGTAAAAGCAAAACAAAAATCAATCGATAGACCATTCACTTAATTTATCATAAAAGGGAAGAACTTCTATTTTTAAAGTGAGCCTATTAATGTAATGCATCAATGTCGAAAAAAAGAAAAAATAAAAACAAAAAATGAAATTTAAAATCTACAATATTATGTCATCAAACAATAAAAACAAATTAAAACCCAATCTGAGACGCCTTTCATTTTTGTTAAGCCTCTCAAAACACTGCCTTTTTTGAATACGGAATAAAGGTCTATTTATTATTTAAATTTGTTTTTAACGCACATTGTTACACATACACATACACCTCATCGAGCTCACAATTTCTTCGTTCTAAACACTATTTAATACATTCATTTATATATCTTTAGTTAAATATATTTGTCTTGAACTTAGTCGCTAAACTAAAGATGTAGGCAATGGGGTTGATTTGCTTTATTAAATAGGCCAAAAACACTTAGTTTATACGTTAATATGCGCAATGCTTTTTAGGGGCTTGCTTGATGTTAGATCTTGTTCGGCTTATATAGTCTTTTGAAAGCTTTCATATTCTAGCAGTGTGAGCGAAAGGAATATACAAAATGGATTTGAAACATATAACTTCATAGCAAATCCTTCATCTCCACTTCCGTTTGTATAATCTCGAATACAAAATACGTCGAAAAAGTTGTGTTTTTATCAATATATCGTACAGTACATAGTTGAAAATGTTTGCTTTGCGATTGTTTGTATTAAAATGGTTTTAGACTTCGTTTGAATTAATATTTAAATGCATTTAAGTAACGTGTTACAATTACAATATATTTTATTCATTGCTATGCGGTTTGTTCTCAGGTTGCTGAAATTCCTTTTACATTATAATTAGTTCATTTCATAGCTATATGTGTTTATATAAATATGCAATTTATTTATCGAATTTGTGGCTGTAGTTGCACTTTAACATTTTACTTAAATAATTTTCTGACTAGACTAGTGCATAATTAGAATTGGATCGCATTTAGAATTATTTCATTATTGGTTTAAGTATGCTAGTGCTTGGGATCAATTGATTAAATTACTGTCTTCGCTGCGATTGCCACATTAATTAGTGATATTTGAAAAGTCTTTGCGTGTTGTTCCCGAAGCGAAGTTGTTGATCCTAGAGAGCTGTCAGCTCTGAAGACTGCGTATTCCTGAATTTTTGGTATAACTATACACTTCTCTAATAGATAATGCTTCAATGAGCAGCCCGCCTAGGTCAAACATCGCTCAGATTCCACCTCCGTGCAATCCGTTAAAACGTTGACAGTTAACTTTTGGTGTTTCCTTTTTGTTGTGTGCGCTTTACAATTTGTTAATATCTCAGTAAGTGAATTAGAATCTTGAATATTGCACGCTCAAACAAACTCTGGTTTGATTTTGGTTGCATTGTTAAATTTGTTCGGTGTTCATTTGCTTACGTTTGCATTTAAGTTTTTGGTATACAAATACTTTGAAGGATAAAAAGGTTTTGTGTACTTTCGGCTTATGATCGAAGAGTAAGAAATACGCAGAAATATACAGAGTAATTACAGTAATACATTCATAATATGTACGTTAGTGAAGGGTAGCCACGGTGGGCCTGGACCCCAACTCGTCCATCCGATATCGGTCAGCGATGACGCTTCTGTCTTGGTTGTGTTGAATACTTTTTTGCGAATCGCAGTTTATATATTTTTGCAGCAGATCCGTGGGGACCAATCAAAATGGTTGCGAAAATGAAACGGATTGGATTTTTGGGAAAGAGAAAAAGCTGTAGCGGACTTTCTAAAGCGGTTGTTCTTGGTTGTTAAACATGCGCGATGGGCATCTGAAGCGTCTTCGCATCCCGATAGGACTTATCCTACACATACTGGTGATCGCCAGCCATCCCATCTGGGCAGTCCACGCTCAGCAACGGCTCCTTTTCGATGGTCTGATGCGTTTGCGCATCGTAGTCGTAGTAGTTCATCCAGTCCACCCGCTTGGGCTGTACCAATCCGAAGCAGCTGCACTCGAGGAAGTCCACGAGGTTCTGGATGGGCCCACGTGTGAACGGGCTGTGCCCGCCCTTAGCCTGGAAGTGGCGGTATCGTCCCCGGTTCATGCGCTCATTGGTGGTCATGCCCAAGCAAATCACCTGATATGTCTGGCAGATCGTCAACAGGATCACCCAGGACATGTGCAGCATGGCGTTACCCATTACCCAGCCCACCCAGGCATCGCAGTTGCCAATGGCCCGCATGGCACCAAGAAAGTCTGTTGGTAAACTCCATTTTAGAAATATTCTGAGGGCTCAACGGCCAAACTCACCATCAAATCGCACATTGCACTGATTCACGTAGTACTTAGAGCCTCCGTACAGCATCCAGGCGCACATAATCAGCAGCATCCAGAGGAATCCCATAAAGTAACTGTGGTTCTTCAACCCTATGCAGTTGCCCACCCAGGGGCAGTGGTGATCAAACCTCGCTACACAGCGATCACACACGGAGCAGTGCTTGGAGCGGATGGGTCGGCGCACCAAGCAACCAGAGCAGAATGAGGCGGGCTCAAAGCCGATTCCACCCCGCTCCGACAGCTCAATGATGGTCTATGAGGTTATAAATAAAGAGTATATTGCATTAGTTGGAGTTGCCGAGTATGAGCATACATAAATTAATAAAAAACAGAGTCCCTACCTTAAATCGCTGCTCTCTGGTAGGTCGAATAATACCAGGATCCCCCTTCCACGACTTGAGGAAGCACACCCACAATAAGAGCGAGGAGATCAGGAAGCAAATGGTGGCCGTAATCGAGACGGCATCGTCGATGTACATCAGCCACGTGACATAGAACCATGCCTTGGTGGCCAGGTAAACACTCAGCGGCAGCAGGGCCATCAGGTGCTCATCGAACAGCGCCTTGCCGATCGTGTGGAATATGGCATACAAGCAGCCCAGCAGGAAAAACTTAATAATATACAACGTGTTCACGGTGAATACGATGCCAGCCAGGTAGAAAGCGGTAAAGGGGCAGGCCACCATGGACCACCATCTCAGGCGTTTATCATGCCGCAGCTTGGAGAGCAGCGACCGCCTTTGCTGCGAGGTGAGTGCCGCCTCTTTCACGCGGTCCATCACCTTCGCCCCTATCCAAATGGCTCCTGTCTGGGATTCCAGCATGGTTAGCGGCGTTTCGCCACGCAGATTGGGCACATCCAGCGAGGCCTTCGATTTGAGCACGAGTGTGGAAATAGCCGTAGCATTGCGAGCCAGGATAGCCCAATGCAGAGCCGTGTTGCCATGCGTATAATCAACCATGGCGGGATTCGCTCCGAGAGTCAGCAGCAAGCGCACGGGATCCAATGCGCAAACCTTAACAAAAAAGAATTCATTAGTAGTGGCACACGTTTTGAACTGGCCTTCTATTTTTCAGAATTTCAATTATTCCCAAAAGATTGAAATTATATTTTCTGTGGAAGTAGTCGGTGGCATGATTTCCTGAGAATATTTTTAATTTGGCGATACCCCCTAAATATGTTGAACTCAAAACCAAGCTTACCTTCCATGCTGCCCACATCAGCGCCGTCATTCCGCCTCGATCCTGGAGATCCGGGTCCACGCCCTTGGCTATGAAGTATG